AAAATTTTTTTTTTTTTTTTTTTTTTTTTTTTTTTTTTTTTTTTAGTTAGAAGTACCATAGTGTTCAATTGAAAGATATATTATAAGCTACTCTAAAATATTCAGAAAATATTTTTTCATCGTTAATTTATATATTAAAAAAACAAATATTTTGAAGTGCATTATGTTTTTTAATTAGAGATAAAATGCGTTTGTTTAACATTTTTAGCAATTGTTTAGCAATTTTATTTAATATTTCTCATCCTATTGATTGATATATCATTTTCTGTGAAGTACATAATTTTTCTCTTCGAAGTTTCTTTCTCGTCTTCTGAAAATTACAAATTTTGAACAAAACACATTTTAAAAGATTGCTCCTCATATCATAAAAAATAATAAAATTTTGCCTAATATAATTGTGAAAGTAATCGTATGCAATTATAATTATAATTATATTTGAATTAAATATAATTATGACTCAACAATTACTTTAACTGTCCATTATTTCAATTACAATTGCAATATATAATCATAATTACATTAAAATTGCAATTAAAGTAATTAATTACAATTGTAATTAATTACATTTATTAATCAATTATGCCCAATTCTGATATATAATGCAATAGCACATTTGTAAATTTATATCGGGTGGAGAAAAAAGATCGCTATCCATGAATTAAAAATTCATTTTTATGTAAAAATGAAAATAAAAGGAACAATTTTCAATAATCTTGATCTTGATAAATATTATAAGTCATGATTCTGGACAATATTTAAAAAGTTTTTAGTCGTCTGTCAGACACTGAGTTGGACATTGAGTAATGCTACTACCGCGCTACTACTAATACTGTAATTTTTAATCTTCATAACTCAAAAAGTATTTAAAGAAAAAATATTTTGTTATAGTGTTTTGAAGAGCTCTCAAAAAGCTACATTAAAAAAAAATCAATGTTTAATCTGATCTTGACTTGACCTTGGCGACATTCAAGGTCAAACTATATAATATAATAATATGAGTAAATTGATCTTTTTAAATCTTATAACTTTTATCTAAAACATTTTTCTATAAAACGTATATTTTCCGAGTTCTTTTTTCCATACTCTATATATCCGGTCTACATTCTAATAAAGCCCCTTTTACTCATGTCTCTTGCTTGCATAGTAGCTGCGCGCAACGCGGTTTGCCAAAAAGAAAGGATGATTTCAGTGGGAAATCGCCGCGATGCGTGTCCGAAAGGTGTGCGCGTACCACACACTTTCATTGTTCTTCGATGTTTCGACGGGAATAGATGTAAGTGATTTCGCGTGTGTTTCTATGAGCACTAATTAATATACCTGTTGTCGTCCCAAGACGAAAGCGATCTAAATATTCTGCGTAAGTAAGTGTCCGATCTTTTTCCAAAATTATAAATTTTAATTAATTACAAATTTAAATAAGAAAATTCGCGTAGAGCGAAACATACGCATTATAACAACCAAAGTGATGAAAATATCCGAGGTAAAGTGTTGACAGCGCGAAAAAAATTTAAATAATATTATAATAGAAATTTTTTAAATATTTTTCCTTCATTTCATGTTTCTATACTTTTGAAAAAAATATTAAAAACTTTTTATTATTTAAATTTGTATTTATTTAATATTGAAGTGCTTAGAAATTTTATAAATAAATGCGTTAAAAAAGGATATATTTGGCAATAGTTTTATCAAAACATATTAAACTTATTTATCAAAACATTTTAAACTTATATTTTGATTTAAAAAAATATACACGTAAAGCAAATAAAATCTTACAAATATATTTCTTTTTGTAAAGAAATAGTCAATCAAGTATAGACAGGTTTAGTAAAGAAACTTTTTAAAATTTACAATAGTATTTGTATTTTAGGTACATAAGAATGAAAGTTTTTGCTTTGCAATAGTATATGATATATTGTTAAAGAATATTTGAAGAATACTATAATCGAAGATACTACCTAGTAAGTAAGAAACATTAGATCAACATTTGAAATATTAATTTTATTAATTTTATTAACGTAAATTAAATTTTTATCTAATATTTTATAAATTCTAATCGTATAATATTATCTTATAATATAAATATTTCCGAAGAACTTTAAGAAATATTTTAATAATATAAATTCTGAATATTTGGTAACTATAGCACATAATGTTAAAAAAAACATTGCTGAGACATTGCAATGTTAAATGTTGATGTGTATTTTAATGAAATGATTTTTAGATGAGCCAAAGGCATCAAATGAAGCATATTTTAATACATCATAAAATGAAGTGTAAATATTTCGTTTACTGTAAATATTTAGTTTTATGTAAAAATTAATTCGCCTAATATTGGAAGTTTATATTCAAAAATGTTGAATCAATGTTCTCGAATATTGAATTGCAATGTTTATAAGATGTTACTTCAACAAACACGAAACGTTTTTATAATGCTTTTTCAATATTGTACAATATTGTAACTCAATGTTTTTAAGATATTGATTCAATATTAACGCAACATTATTTATAACATTATTTTATGATAAAATATTATATTATAGAAACCTCCAAATTGCGGTCAAAGGTTATTCATTATGATGTTGTATGCAATATTAAATATAACGTATTTGAAAATGTTATTGAAGATTCTTGCAATAACGTAGTAATGATGTTTTGCTTACTGGGTATAATCGAATATATATAAAATCCTAATACTCTCATATTATTCTGTAGCAATATGAGAAGTATTAGGAAAGCGAATTATCCAACCGCTGTGCAAATATTTGTTAAATACATCCAAAACAATCAACGAAGCGTAAAAATAGTGACGAGATGAATGGAGTTGGATTTTGTATTACCATACAAGGATGAACAATACAATTTCGCCATAGCAACATCGTAGAATCTCGCAATTTGATTTATCTGTATAGGTTGCAAGCAGTACCAGTTATACATATGCAGCCAACTGCAGCAATATACTTAGGTCAAGATGCTATCTGTTTAAAAAGTTACTTTTATCTGAAGCTTTAAATTTTTCGATAAATTTTTAGTTTAGTATAAGCCTAGTTTTATTTAGCTATATCTATATATATATATATAGAAAGTTTATTAATTAAAATAGAGAGAAAGAGAGACGGAGAGAGAGAGAGAGGGAGAGAAAGGGAAGAAAGAGAGAAAGAAAGAAAGAGCGAAAAAAGATTCTGTCAGATTAAACATATTTCTAATTAAATAATCCTTTATTGATTTATATTAATAATTTTGTTTTTTAAAAAACTGGTTGTCAAGGATGACAGGTTAACAGATTCATAAATTTATATTGTTTCACTATGTGTTACAATTAACATTAACGAGCTACTTAAAAGATCATCACTTCCTAGTTTCACACAATTCGATTGTTGTTGACGATAAGCGGAATGGAGACTCTTTCATGCTCTGTTTCAGAGCACTCCTTGAATTCATCAAGTTTCTACAGGATATGCTTTGGAAGATATTTTAATGGCAGGACGTAGACAGATGCACACTTATATAAATCCGTAATGATCGTTGTATGACTCAAAATACAAAAATTTGACCAATATTATCCATTATAAAGCACCATGCTCTTTCCGCATCTCATTTTCTATCATTGTCAGTGATTAATTGTAAAAAATTAAAAATTTGTTTTTAATCAAATTCACTGGTTGTAATTATTTTTTTTACCCAACCATAAACAGAATTGTTACATTTGCCATAGGTAATGCAGTTCAGACAGCCGGCGGTTTGGCTATTTAAACTCTTGTCAATTGGTTTTGCATATACCGGTATTAGCGATTGGGATGCGTGCAGTGGACGATTAGAACGCGCCTTGGACGCACTACATAGGGATTCCATTAGAAGAAACAATTTGGATGAAGAAGAGATTGGAACATTGTATCAACGCGAACTACATTCCGTTCCCCTGGAAATGTCTGTCTCCCGTATGGCCGTAAAGGTAATATCTTTTTCAAAAAGTAAGATTTCTCTCTTTTTTTAATTTATTTAATACAAAGTGAATTTCGTCTCTTCTTTTAAGAATAATATTCCATTTATATTTAATTTTATATTCGAAATTTATATTTAATTTCACTTTAACAAAAAATGATGTTTTTTACAAATAATAAGGAGCATATAGTACCGATGGCAGATGTTAAAACGAAAATAATATATTTATTATTATTATATAAGAAAACATAGACGTTTCGGTCAAGATTTGATCATCATCAGTACATACAGACGACAATAAAGAATTACAAACAAGTTTATTAATTAAGAACGCAAAATCGCTAGTCAAAGAAGTGTTAATATAGTATCAAGATGACAAAGAAAGAAATGCATAATATTAAAAAAAATTATCGCAAGTCAATAAAATAATAACAAATTCTTCTTTTCCTTTTCAATCGTTTGTAGTACGCGTTAATTGAATAAGATACAATCCAGAGAAAGAAATTTATCAACAAAAATATATATTAAATATATTAAAAAAGGAAAAAAAGAAAAAAATTTTTTATAATAACATATCTGGCGATTAATATGTTCTGTTTATGATTCCTTTTTTATGGAAGCAAAGAATGACTTCGTGTGTGAGAATACGGAATTTCCAGATTCTATTTAAAAATTAAGGAAAATATCTAAAGATGCCTTTTAGACATTTTTAAATATAAGATATTTTAAAATGTCTTTTAAATATCTTATGCAACATAAATGCTATCTGAGAAGGTTATTATTATTATAAATATAAACTTTCAAAAGCCTTGTTTATTTAGAAAATCATTCCTTAGAAATGTGAATATTGACTACATAAAATATCTACATAAATATTGCTCATAAAACGTTTTTTTACATATGTATAAATGATTATGTAATTATAACAAAATTATATGAATGTCTACCCCAACACGAAATATTGCAGCAATATTTCAATAGTGCGCAATATTAAAAAAATTGTAACAATATTACTGCAATATTGAAATTTTAACATTTTATTGGAAATATTACAACAATATTGCGAAATATTGTAATTTTAATATTTTGTTGCGATATAAATAAAATATATTGTTACAATATTATAATTCATTAAATATGTACGCAGTTCCGCCATGATAGGGATACGCCTCTCATAAGAAAACGTCCAAGGTCCCTATTCTGTCTTTACACGCCTATCAACAGTTATCAGTATCGTTGCGCAGATATTTTATATGATGAAAAAACTGCGCAACGACACCGATCACTGTCGGTAGACATGTAAAATAGAATAGAGGCTTATAAGGAGCCTTATAAGAAATTAGGATTCGCAATAAGAAAAAGAATTACGCAAATCGAGTTAATGAGTTTCTTGGAGATTCCAATCTTTTTTGGATGTGCTTCCTAGGTTGCTGAATATTTTTTGATCATAACTTAATCGTATGTATTTTAGAATACGATGCTAAAAACAATAATAATGCAATTAATAAAACTAGAATAATTATTGAATATTGTATTATTGAATAATGTTATTATTGAATAATGTTATAACAATATATACGCAATATTTTTTTAAATATTACAGCAATGTTTTATTTTTGCGGACACAGGAATATTGCTACAATATTGTTTTATGAAATATTGCAATCTTTCAAAATAATATTGCTGCAATATTTCGAGCTGTTTATGTAAAAATGAATTTTTAGTGAAAATAAAAATAAATATTTTCAAAAATGAAAATAAAAGGAATAAGTTTCAATGGCCTTGATCTTAACAAATGTTATCCAGGACATGATTCTGAACAATATATAAGAAGTTTTAATTGTCGGTCGAACACTTGCGTAATGCTAATGCCAACGGTACTGTAACTTTCAAGTCTTATAACTCGAAAAATACTTAATGAAAAATAACTTTATTTATACAGTGTTTTAAAAAGTTCTTAGCATCAGTGATTAGATTCTGAAATAAAAAATAAGATGTTTTATTTTAAAAAATCGATGTGCTCTTGACTTGACTTTGGCAATGCCACCCAAAATCAAACTGATAAGATCAGTAAATAGATTAGTAAATAGGGCTTTTCAAGCCCTACAACTTTTGTCTGAAACATTTTTTTATAAAACTTATATTTTCCGAGTTGTTTAGGGGTCCTTATCGACTTTATTCCCCATTCTGTAAAGATGAGGCATTTAAAACAGGTCACCTGATAACTCTCGCTTGTTCTTAACTCGCTTGTTTTTAACAATAGAAGGAAAAGTGCCAAACAAAAGTTGTATCGTTTCAAGGGGAATGTATTTTGATTATATTTTCTTTCTTCTAGGGGGCGCTAAAAAAATATGAAGATCATCTCCATTTTTTAAGTGAAATTATATGATTTTTTTTACACAATATAGTTTCTCTAATTATTCTGTATGTAAAAACATTAAGATAGTTATGTAAAAAAACCAATAATTTACGAGATACTTTATACTTCACATGTTGGCATAAAATATTAAATATCTTGTAAACTATTAATTTTTTGATAATCGTACCTTTATACTTTTATGAACAGAATAATAAGATAAATCAATTGGTGAAAAGGAAACATATATAATTGCTTATTTAAAAAATTATTCATTTATTATATATTTTTTAAAAATAATTATATATGTTTTACACCAATTGATTCATCTTATTATTCTGTTCATAAAAGTATTAAGATGCAAATATCAAAAAATAGTTCACGAAATATTTAATATTTAACATTTATTCAACATAATATGTCAGAATAAAGTAAAATATCTCATAAACTATTGGTTTCTTGATATCACTATCTTAATACTTTTATATGCAGAATAATTAAAGGAATCATATTTATATACATACGTGTGTAAAAAAAATTATACAATTTCATTTAAACAAGTAGAGGTGACTTTCATATTTTTTTGATGCCATCACAGTCCATCTAGAAGAAAAACAATTTGACCAAATACATTCTTCTTGAAACCATTCAGCTTTCATCTGAAACATTTTTTCCTATCATAAAACGATCGAGATATTTCAGATGATCGAGTTTAGATGTTATCGGTATATTTGAGACTCATCAAAAGTTACAAAACAGTACGTAAATCGATTTTTGGAGATCGAATCAGCATGCAATCGAGGAGTAACCATAAGCAATTGTGAAGATTAAAGTCTTCCGCCGTTTTCCTATAGATGGCTTTAGCGGTAAGTGGTGGTCGAAATAAATAGATCATAGACGTCATACAATAAACTTGGGCATCTGTCAACATAACCTCATAGAAACATTAGTCGATTTGTGTCTGCATCATAAAGTTATTCTCGATTGAAAATGTCAGTTTACGAGCCAAATTCTCGTCATTTGCGGGAGGTTTTAATTTTTTGCTTCAATATGAAGAAATCTGCGGCTGAGGCTCATCGAATGCTCTCAAATACTTATGGTGAGGCCGCTATTAGTGAAAGAACGTGAGTCGTTTCAACGCTTCAAGAATGATGATTTTGACGTCGAAGACCGGCATAGCGGTGGAAGAGACATTTTCGAAGATGCAGAATTGGAGGCATTACTTGAGCAAGACTCGTGTCAAAATCAAGAAGAATTGGCACGATCATTGGGACTCAACAAGCCATTTCAAAACGCCTCAAAGCCATGGGAATGATTCAGAAATAAGGAAATTGGGTGCCGTACGAATTGAAGCCGAGAGATGTTGAACGGCGTTTGTTTGCTTGTGAACAGCTGCTTGAAAGGCAAAGACGGAAGGGATTTCTGCATCGCATTGTGACTGGGGATGAAAAATGGGTTCGTTACGATAATTCCAAGCGCAAAAAATCATGGGGAATTCCCGGCCATGCTTCCACGTCGACGGCTAAACCGAATATTCACGGCTCCAAGGTCATGCTTTGTATTTGGTGGGACCAGCTCGGCGTAGTGTATTATGAACTGTTAAAACCGACTGAAACAATCACAGGCGATCGGTATCGAACGCAATTGATGCGTTTGAGCCGAGCATTGAAAGACAAACGGCCGCAACGAGAGACACGATAAAGTGATTTCGCAGCAATGCCCCATGTTGCGAAAGGTCAAGACATACTTGGAAACGTTGAAATGGGAAGTCCTATCCCGCCGTATTCTCCAGACGTTGCTCCCTCTGACTATCACTTGTTTCGATCAATGGCACATGGCCTGGCTGACCAGCACTTCCAGTCTTATGAAGAAGTAAAAAATTGGATCGATTCGTGGATAGCCTCAAAAGATGATCAGTTTTTTCGACACGGGATTCGTACGCTACCCGAAAGATAGGAGAAAGTAGTGGCCAGCGATGGACAATACTTTGAATCATGAATGTATAACCAGTTTTTTACAATAAATAAAGCCTCGAATTTCGAAAAAAAACGGCGGAAGCAAAGTTGTACACTTAATATGTCATATGTCAATCATACCAGAAGAACTTCAGCAGAAATTCAACATATTGCAAATTTATCAGCAAATCATTGCGCAGCAGTTGCGTTCTGCTGAACGCACCCATTTTATTTGTCCATAAAACCTCATTAGATGTATTATTCATAGATGTCTATATTAAATCTCATATGTATCAATTACAGATATTTTATAGGCCTCTGAAAGATGATTAATAAACACATAGACATATATATAAAGACACAGACTTATTTATAGAATGTGTGGCTGTAACAGACGTTATATTGTTATATGAATCCTTTTCAACAAGATACAAGAAAATGTTAGTGAGGGAACCGGACATGTTGGCTATCTTCATCTTGGCAAATACAAGAGAGCATACTCTGACAGTTACAATTCTTTCAGAGATTTGGAAAGCAATTCCAAAAGAAAGGTTGTAAGATATGAGGAACTTAATTTTTGCATATGGTTCTTATAGCAGTCCCCCTAATAGCAAATCTCCAAGAGATGTTCCAAAGAACATTCAGAGAATATCGTTGTCTTAATAACGTTCGCCAGAACATACGCCCCTCGAATAATGGTATTGTGTATTATTAGGATCGTGGAATTTTCTTTTTATGAGAAACTGTGTTCATTTCGTGATAATGTACTCGCGCCATAATGTATCCATAATAAATGTCTAATAAACGTCCATCATGGATTTGTGGATCATCCATTATGGAGTTAGTGGATCTATAATGGATATCTAATAATTAACTTCCAATGTGAAGAAAGATGTTGCTGTAGATGGCTGTAAAGATCATATAGATGTCTAATGGATGATATGTCCTATGAAGGGTATTAAATATGTATTTCATTTATCAGTTGATAATTACAATACAATAAACATTAGGAGAGATGGCACTTTCATTAAATTGTCTTCTCTACTTGAAATCTGAATCGCTGTTGCTCGTCTCCTTTTCTTTGCATACCAAGCGATTCTAGCGATCTTAAGGCCTTGCACAAAATATTAGATCTTTATACGATTCAGATAAACCCTCAATTACATGATTTAATCCTCAACTACATGAATGGATCATTTGGACTCAGGTGAAAATTTTAATCGGCTGTTATTATTATGGTTAATATTGCAGAGTTGAAGTGACAGGATAAAAAAATTTAAAACCTTCTCTGTCGATCATGCAGTTCTTTCATTGTTGTCTTCGCTAATTGTGATGCAATAAAAATTTAGTTAACTTGGACCCGTCAAATGTAAATTCGACAAATTTTTATCGAAAGTGAAAATTCGTTTTTAGTAGTGCTTATTTATTAGTGCTGTATTGTCTCTTTTTATAATTAAAACATTCATTGTCAAACAAACAGTTTTGCGAGATGTCTTAGTGAAATGATTGCTCTATTTTCTAGGAGTTATAAAATATATTAGGTATACAACTTTGCTTCTGCCGTTTTTTCCGAAATTCGAGGCTTTATAAAAAACTGGTTATACATTTATGATTCAAAGTATTGTCCATCGCTGGCCACTACTTTCTCCCATCTTTCGGGTAGCGTACGAATCCGCGTCGAAAAAACTGGTCATCTTTTGAGGCTATCCACGAATCGATCCTATTTTTTACTTCTTCATAAGACCGGAAGTGCTGGTCAGCCAGGCCGTGTGCCATTGATCGAAACAAGTGATAGTCAGAGGGAGCAACGTCTGGAGAATACGGCGGGTGGGGTAGGACTTCCCATTTCAACGTTTCCAAGTCTTGACCACTTTCGCAACATGGGGCATTGCTGCAAAATCACTTTATCGTGTCTCTCGTTGTATTGCAGCCGTTTGTCTTTCAATGCTCGGCTCAAACGCATCAATTGCGTTCGATACCGATCGCCTGTGATTGTTTCAGTCGGTTTTAACAGTTCATAATACACTACGCCGAGCTGGTCCCACCAAATACAGAGCATGACCTTGGACGTCAAAATCACTGTTCTTGAAGCGTTGAAACCACTCACGACACGTTCTTTCACTAATAGCGGCCTCACCATAAGTATTTGAGAGCATTTGATGAGCCTCAGCCGCAGATTTCTTCATATTGGAGCAAAAAATTAAAACCTCCCGCAAATGACGAGAATTTGGCTCGTAAACATTTTCAATCGAGAATAACTTTATGATGCAGACACAAATCGACTAATGTTTCTATGGGGTTATGTTGACAGATGCCCAAGTTTATTGTATGACGTCTATGATCTATTTATTTCGACCACCACTTACCGCTAAAGCCATCTATAGGAAAACGGCGGAAGCAAAGTTGTACACTTAATAAGTAAGTAATGTCGAAATCATTATATATTTAATATAAAATATTTTCATTGCAGTTTTTTTCTTTTTTAAAGAAGAAAATAACCGATATGCCTCCAATATCATTTTTCTGAGTATGTATAAAAATGCCCCCATTTCAGCCGCGCAAATAATTATACTTTTTAAAATGAATTAATATAATGTATTTTTTTTTAAAGTTCGTGTTTTCCTTTTTTCAAAACACTACTTATTTTTATCTGTATCTTTTTTTATCATAAAGATATGATTTTTTGAAAAAAAAACTGATTATTGAGTCTTTTCACAAATTGTTCTTTAATATTTTTCTTGGCAAAAATTTTTAATTATTATTAAAATCCAACAACGAGATATAAAAGACTAATAAGAGTAAAAAAAACTTAATAAAACTCCATTATTAGTTTAACATATAAGTATAATTAAAGATAGAAATAAATCAAAATGTAGAAAGTACAAAAATTAAAACGTTAGAATATAATTACATACATGTTTCGATTTTATATTTAAGCCATCTTCAAATGTACAAAAAAATTTTATTTCCCGGCGCAGTATAATACATTATTCAAAAATTAAGATTGTTTCGTTGCATAATTAGATGACAGTTAAAATAGAGAAAACGGAAAATTATCAAGCGATTGGTTGACCGATTGCGAAAATTTCTCATTATTCTAGAGAGAACATAAAGAAGCATAGAAACGTTATAAGTTATCAAATCTAAAATTTTTTATTTAGAACAAGTATAATACGTTTCTCTAGTAAAAACTCACCTCATAGTCCGATAATTGAGAAAAATTATATTAGTATTATAAAAAAACGTCAAGTTTCATTTTGCTTTGTTAAAAGCGATGAAAAAATTAATATCACATTATAAGTAACATCCAATATATAAAATAAAATAAAAATCAGCGAATAGCGTCTAACATTCTCGACGGATTCGACTGTACTGCGATAAATCTTGGCAATGCAAAGTCAAACGTTGTTTATTATCGAAATGTATGATTTATGAAGACCTTCTTGTATCCGTCTGTAGATTAAGACTGTTACTCTGTTTTTTTAATGTTAAGCATCTTTGAGACAAGGCGCTTATTATAAATTGGTTCTTCACCCAAGATTTGAATATTATTCCAATCAAAATCACCCAATTGCGATCAATGATCCATTATTACCGATTTAGAGCTGTGTTCCAACGTATATGATTTCGATGTTCTGAAATCCGAGTTTTCAGCTTTATCCCCGTTTGTCCCACATAAAATGCGTCACAGTCATTGTAGTTTATCTTATAAACAACATTAGACTTCAAGAAAGAGTTCAAAGGATCTTTATGTACTTTGATAAATTTCTTTAATTTATTTGTATAACTTTAATAAAAACCTTGATATCATTTATTGAATTGTTTGAATTTTCTATTAAAATCGGTACATAGACAGTGAACCAAGATGAATTAATAGATTCTTTATTATTCTCTAAATTATTAGTTCTAAATATCTTTTTCCGAGTAATATTCTTGATTTTATTATTAATGGTATCAAAAATGAACTTAAGCGGAAAATCATTTTCTATCAAAATGTTTATGATAAGAGTAATATTTTTTGCATGGAAAACAGAATCCATCAACAATAGAACTCTGTCCTCTAAACTAGAAATTATGCCTTTTTTTTGTCATATCAGTTAGAGAAAAAAATTTTTTAATTTATCTGTGAAAAATGTGAGTTTATGATCAATCAAACATCAAATGATTGTCTTTAATGATAATAGAAATAAACTCTCATCTAATTATGCAACGAAACAGTCGCTTTCTTAATTTTTGAATAATACTGTATTATACTGCGCTGGGAAATAAAATTTTTTTGTATATTTGAAGAGGACTTAAATGTAAGATCGAAAGATGTATGTAATTGTATTCTAGCGTTTTAACTTTTGTACTTTCTATAGTTTGATTTATTTCTATCTTTAATTATACTTATGTTAAACTAATAATGGAGTTTTATTAAGTTTTTTTGCCTTTAATAGCCTTTTATATCTCGTTGTTGGATTTTAAACATTAAGAGTCCTGTTACTTCAAGTTTTTTATTATTAAAATCTTTATATATTTTGATATTTCTATTTTATACATTCTAGCATTTCATTAAAAAAAAGAAATATTTTCCATTGAGATTTATGATAATTATAGAGCTGTCATCAAAAATGCAATCAAAAACGCTGTGGGTGACTTGAACCCAGATAAATTAAGATCCTAAAACGAGACATGTAGTTGAGTAAATATGATAGACTTTAAATATTTTAAAGTATTTTAAAGATATCTAATATTATCTAATATTTTAAAAGTTATTCGAAAATTTTTTCAAAATTTTCAACATATTCAAGATTTTCCGAAGTTTTTTAGTTTTGAAATATTAATATTTAAAAAAATTCAATATTTTTATCGTATATAAGGTTATTAGATGTGTTTCTATCGCTATTTGCAAAAAAATTATATAATTGAGCGAATAACAAGAAAGTCATGCACATGGCCTTAGTCTATTTCGTAGCTTTCAGAAAATACGAAGGAGACCAGAGGTTACTGGGCACGAGTGGAACAATGCGTGTACGATCCAGATCACAATTTTCTGAGGACGCGCATTGTATTCAACGATCTGTCAGTGTCAGGAATAGTGTCCCTAATACCGCGAAATCATCATGCCCTAATTTCCGCTGAATCCTGCAAAATGACACTGCGACTGAGGCGCGCGGGAATAGACTTTCTCACCAATCCGATCACCCGGGGACGCGGTCAGATGCGTATACGTACAGAATCCAGTTTTCTAGAACCCAGATTTGCATCGATCTATGCTTATGACTGCCGTACTACACGCATCGATAAGCAAATCAAACGGCAGGATAAATGGCCACCGTATCACTTAATTAATAAGGTAGGCTACATATTGGAAAAATTATCTTTTCTAAAAATAGATGTCATGCGTACGCATACATCAAAAAATATATTATAAAAATATTAATTTACTATTTTACTAATTTAATAAATATTTTACCTCAGCTAATGCTAAATATTCATAGAAAGTTCGATTCATATTCTCAATGTGCCGAATATTCCGGCACAGTGTGAAAGAATGGTCGCAGAATATACAAATGTCGATGAAATGTTCAGAATATTGTATGAATATATATTTTCGTATATATCACGAAAATTGCGAGTGAGCGAGAGAGCAGTACACAACATTGGCGAGGAGCATTTCCTGATTAACAAAAATCATCTGGGAGAGAATATAAGGAGTGCAACATTTCACCAAAATTTCATTGTAAAGTAATCGGAGTAATTCTTTGCACAAGAGCAAATTACTTTTAATTAGTCTTTATTTCTCTTTTACTTTATTATTTAATTCTTAAATTCATCTCTTTTTAATTACACTTATCTTATTAGACACTTTTTTATTTTATTTTACAAGAATTGTTTCTTTTATTTTTGTATGACATAAGATTTTTTGCAATTTTTTCCCAACCTATTATACTTTAAGAATAAATCGCTTTTCTAAGATTATTATCTTTTATGCAAATACTTTGGAATGTTTTTGGGGAATTTTAGGAACTTTTTATAAATATTTCAGGAATACTTAACTTTAGCTGAAACTGATTAATACGTATGCATCTTTATCAATACTTTAAAATCTATAAATAATAATCTTTTTTTAAAATAATTTTTTCTCATACAATATATCAATGTTGTTCCAATTAAAATTGTGTCCACTATTCATTTTATGTTCAGTCAAAGTTGGGCATAATTAATTAATAAATGTAATTAATTACAATTGTAATTACTTTAATTGCAATTTCGATGTAATTACAATTATGTTGCAATTGTAATTATATTGTAATTACAATTAAAATAATTACAATTAAAGTAATTGTTGAGTCGCAATTATATTTAATTCAGTTACAATTATAATTGTAATTGCACGATTACTTTCACTCAATTGTTAGGCAAAATTTTATTATTTTTCATTTCATATGTATTATTTGATAACTTTTATTTATATTTTTCATATGCACATAACAATATCGAGATACTTCTTTTTATAAAAGGATACATTTATACAATATTCTATAAAGCATTAATTGCTCTTATTCTAATTACAATTACAGTTAATTAATTAACAATTAATAATTAAATAATTGTTTGTTTACAATTATTTTTCGCAATTACTTCATTTAATTGTTTCCAGTTCTAATTAATAATTATGAAATATAATTACTAATTGAATTAAGAATTACATTGTAATTGTAATTTGTAATTGTTAATTGAATTACAGTTTTGTACAACTCTGTGTTCAGTTATAACTGGTTACTAGATATTTTTATTGATGCAGTTATGATGTCCATAAATACTTTTGTTAAATATTTTTTGTTTATTACAGGTAACACCAACATTGTCGTTATCTCTGAATGATAAGTATGATGCGGCGGAACCGAGGCAATTAGCGGGCAACGCCGAAGAAATAGATATTGTCATACCGAACGAAAGTCAACGTTTGCGTTACTCGCACGTCCCTGAGATGAATTTCGGTGTATGGAAGAAGAATTCTTGGATCACCAAATTATCATCACGTCAGAAACGTTCAATGGCACGGTACGCGCGTGCTACGTTTGTATTTACACCGTGGAACTTCACGGACACTCTGATAAATAAACGTAAATCAACAGAGAAACCTGTAAATTTTACTAAAATTAATTTAACCGATGATTTCCGGAATAAGGATCCATCACAACATGTATTGCGAGATCTCGTAGTAAACGACAATTTTGACAATCTGTTCTCTTTAGACTTGAAAGATCCAAACAGAATGAATTGGCAATCTAAGGAGTATATCACAAAAGAAATGGAAGAAATATTTTTGCAGGGTGCTAGTCAAGCATTGACCAGATACATCGAACGTCAATTGCATCCGGCAATCAAAGAAACACTAATGTTGTCCATGGGTTATACCATCAGTTATGGATAAATGTGAATATTCGATACAGCAATATTGTAATTATCTATACTTAAATAATAAATATGTCAAAAAACGTTAAATATTAAATAAAAGTTGAATCGTCTTCACTTTTTATTATCATTGTAGAAATTAATTTTACTGTACAGGCATACCTAACAATAATTTGTCAGATTATTCAACAATTCATACATTATGTTGATTAAAATTTTTATTTTATTTGTTTTATTTATAGCTCCACATTTTATATTTTATTGTTTAATCTTGTCTTAATCATCTTGTCTTTCATTACTTAAACGCTTTTCACATAAAAATTGACGTAAATCATTTATATCAGTGCTGGGATTTATTTGTACATTTCGGCCAACTTTTAGCTTCCTGTCAATCAATATTTAGGCTGCGCGCAGATTGGTGAAGTAAAGGAACTAAGCTTCTTGCGCGCGCGGTCGAAATGTACAAATAAATCCTAGCACTGATTTATATAAATCATTTTTAATTATAAATAGAATTCGTAAATGTATACAAAAGCATTTCATTCATTTTGTAATTATGTATTCTTTAAAGATAATAGTTATTCCGGTAAAAAAATGCATGAATGTGTATAAATATGTATAAACATACATAAATATTTATAAATACGTATAATCATACATGAAATACGTCCATACATGACGTCCACACATCTATCTTTCTTTTATAAAATTACTTTGTAGTCTAATAGAAATAATAATAGTAATGTGAAAATATTAAAAATAATTAATTTTTAATTATTTTTCACTATTTGTTTTGAAAAAAAATCAAATTTGAAGAAATATAAAAAATTGCCTATGTATAATTATATGTATATAAAATTGTGCATGAATAATTTTTTTTACATTTTTCCAAACTATTTTTTCCAATTGTTTTTTTTCTAAAACGAACAATGC